ATTTGCACCATTCTAATTTTATAAACAATATGCTTGTATCACGTAAGGCCTTCGCGATTAGTGACGTTATCAAACAATTAGTTTTAGTGAAATTGCAGGAACCACAGGCTTCTGACTGGAAATTGGAATGGTGCAAATTGATGCTATCATTTTACAAACCCTTTAACAAGATGCCGTTTTTGTTTCATTTTGTAGAATGAAAAAACAACGTCTGAACAATTTTATTATAAATCTTTTAGTTTTCAACTCATATTTATTATTGCCTAACGACAATTATATTGGTCTTCCTGTGTCTACAAGACGTCGGTCAAATAGGTTCTGGTCGACCTTTCTATTGGATTTTCAAAAACTACCAAAGGCTAGTAGCATCCGAACAAATTCACCATTCATGTTAGCGAGGAAGAGTATGCAGCTCAATCCAAGTTAAAATGAGATTTAGTGGTATCTAGATAAAATACATGATTGAAAAACAAGACACTTATAAACTTTATAATATATAATGAGACAATTGGCTTATTTGCCTCCATTACGTAACGGCCTCGCTATACTCTCAATAAATGGTTTAAATGCTAGCCTATTTATATAGTCATTACTGTCTGAACACCAAAACCTCTTTATATAAACACACGATACGTCTCTGTCACACTAACCTCTCATTACACTTAACCATTGGTAATTACTGAAATGGATTCTTGAATTATATTCTTCTGTAATGGCAGTGTTTGTGGCAATTTGACAAACTTTGTCGGTTGCAGTCACCTCAACATTCAAAATACACGCAATAGACACAAATATATTAAACTTTATTTCCTATTGTTTTGTAATTACCCGAGAAAATGAAATGGTTTGTTACTTTGTTATTCTATCCTCTATTGGTCTAATGAAATGAAATGGTTTTTATATCCTATTATTCTGTGATGTATTGGGCGAATGAAATTAAGTTATATGTCTAACTGCCCTGTGACTCGTCTAACTAAGTAAATGAAATCGAATTATATATCCTACTGTTTAAACCAACCACTTACAAAGATAAAAACTTAGGTTTACCCTTCGGATACTTTTAACAAGACACCCTTGGGCCAAACCTCTGGACATTGATCTTTCTCGGAAATTCTTAT